TAGTGAGTTGGGCAAATAAATGGCAGGTGAGTTGTAATTATAATCAATGCAAAATAATGCATATAATTTGGATTATAAGTATAATTTCGATGGGATAACCTTAATAGTGTTATGAAGAAAAGGAATCTTGGTGTAATAGTTGATCAGTCTCTAAAGCTTATCCAAACAGTGTGCTGTTGCTAGTGGTAGGACAAATAGGATTTTGGGTTGTAACCACAGAAATATTGAATTCAAGTCTAAATAGGTTATAATTTCATTGTACAGGTCTCTGGTTAGGCCACATTTGGAATATTGTGTTCAGTCTTGGGCTCCTTATCTTAGGAAAGACATTGAATTTTGGAAAGGATTCAGAGAAGAGTTACTAAAATGGTGCCTGGGATGGAGGGGTTGTCATAAGAGGAGAGGCTAAAATATCTCAAATTATTTTCTCTTGAAAAAAAAAGAGTAGGGGAGGATCTGATTGAGGTATTTAAGATTGTAAAGGGAATTGGTAGTGTTGATGCATCATCTCTTTTCATATTTAACAATGAGAATAGTAGGACTAGGGAACACAAACATAAATTTTGGCAAGGCAAGAGTCATCTTCAGCTAAGACAATTTTTTTTTCTAACAGGGTGGTTGGACTTTGGAATGAGTTGCCTTCAGATGTTGTAGAGGCAGTAAATTTAAAAAAAAAGCTTGATAAGTATATGATAAGGGCTGGCTTTAAAATTGTGTAAAAATTATTTGAATTTAGTTTAGAGAATGGAATAGCTGAGATGGACCAATAGGTCCTATGTTGTCCCAAAACATTATGTTAATGTGATTTCATAGTGTTTATAACGATTATTCCTGCGCACCTTCTATGATTTAGGCCCGGTATGGCCAGGTGGTTAGATCGCTCGACTCGCAATTTGAGGGTCTCGGGTTTGAATCCCAGTCCCACCAAACATGCTTGCCTTTTCAATCCCACTATTTGTTGGTAAAAGAGTATCCCAAGAATTGGCGGGGGGTGGTGATGACTAGTTGCCTTCCCTCTAGTGTTTCACTGCTAAATTAGGGACGGCTAGCTCAGATAGCTCTCGTGTAGCTTTGCGCGAAGTTCAAAACAAACTAAACCTTTTGTAGTTTGACTTTTTATTTCAGAAACTCAGTTAGAAATGGCAGAGATGAACAAACACCCATTCCACATACTTCCAAATCTCCATTTGGCGAGGCTTAAGCGGCTACTCTGAAGGAAATCCACGAGCCAGAAAATATCACAGCACAAATAAACTCACATCAAGTGCACTAAAACAAAAAAGGGTTTAGCTTGGATTATTTTAGATGTGATAGGACTCACGCCGCTCGTTCTCTATGAATGTGAGCTATTTATGCTGGCAACAACTTTGCAAATACACACGCAAAAAAATGTTGCATAATAAGTGAGATAAAAGCAGTATTCCCAATCTAATCTATCCTTTAATTAGTACACACACAAACAATATATCTACATAAGCTTATTAGATATAACACAATTATATTGTTTTTCGCTATTAGTAATTTAATAGATACCAGGTCTTACATTTTCAAAGCAGAAAATGGCGTTAGAGCGTGAGCACGTGCTAAATTGTTGATTATTTTTAAATCTTAAGTGCTTCATAGTGGAATAACATATGACACTGTAGTAGTGATGACGGGACATGTTGGAAGGCTTTATGACCAGTTAATTTCACTTCAGGAATGTCTGGACATTAATTCTAGCGACTATGAAAAAGCAGACAACATTATTAAGGATATTATTTACATATGCATGGATAGTAGAATGTCAGAGAAAGAAACTGGTGAGAACCAAGTTTACTTAGTACTTGACATTTTGGGAGAACGAAGGATTTACCGGCACATGTCTAAAGCTTAAGTTAACTTTAATAGTTAAACCACACATTGCCGACTTGTTTTTAATTTTATACAGCTCATTACCGTTATCGTATACATCTTACGTTACATAATATTGAGTAATTTTATGTTTATGTTACATAAAATTCAATGTTAAGAGCTGAACAACAACAAAAAATTAAAAGGCGAAATTACCCGTGTAAATAATTTACTGTGAATACTATGTTATTACTACTATGGACCCTGTAATCAATAAAGTCATGGAACGACGAGCAGTTTGGTGTGCAAATAGTTTAGAAAAACATGCTTAAAAAGTCAGTGAGTCTTTCTAGAGTTATATTTCAAGTTTCATTATTAACAGTATAAATTTATGAGACAATATACTATATCATAGTTTAGCCCACAATTTAGATTCTTTAATTTAACTGCATTTTATTTTACATATTTATCTCACTTATATAATCAAGGCTTGTATTCTTATCTTTATTAATGCTAACTGGAGTTTCTTACTTGACAATGACCTTTAATATAATGAATATACATAGGGAGGATCAGAACCGAGGGTGCTGTAGCACCCCCACTTTTACATATTTGATTTATATAGCAACTGTAAGTTATTATATTACCAAAGGTATCTCAATCTAGGGGGTATGGGGGCATACTCACAGAAAAATTAATATAATAATATAATTTACAGTTGCTGTATAGGTACTGATGCCTCTGGAATGTTAGTTCAGAGCTTTTTAGATATTTTGTTGGAGAGGGCTCAGAGCATCAGAAGAGGGTTACTAGAATGATTCTGAACATAGGTTGATACTTTTTAAACTTGTTCTCTTTTGAAAAGAGAAGGGTCAAGAGTGATCTGATTGAAGTATTCAAGATTGTTAGAGAAACTGATGAGATTGAGGCATCAAATTTTTCACGTTGAATTCTGAGGGCAGTAAAATTAGAGGTCATAATTTTAATATTTGGAAAATTTGAAGAAGGCTAATTTCTCCAATATAATGGTAAATCTGTGGAACAAATTTCCATCTAGTTGTAGAGGCTGCAAGAGGTTAAGAGGAGGGTTGATGAATGTTTGGGAGATCAGGGCTGGGTTTAGTGATTAATGTTTTGTTGGCACTCAGAACATCTATGATGGGGCATAATTTATATTAATTTAAATTGATATGTATTTGTTTTAGGTACTTTAAATAATAAAGTTGTAAAGTTTTTCTTACAGCTTGTGTTCCTACAATTAATGAACTTACCATTTTTCAAAGAAGTTTTTAACTGTTTTAATTCCTTGTGCATTCTTCAGTTTTAGCTCAGAAATAATAGAAGAATAACAACATTATTAAGTTTGTATTGTATGTTTGATTTATGCACACACACACATGCAGAATTTACATATGTATCAGTGTATTTTAATTTGATTTTTTAGCTTATATGTGTTCTCTGGTGTTCAATGAAGATCTTGGGCTGACTGTTTTTCTTAAAAAAACTGCAAGTTTGAGTCAGGTAGGAACATGTTGTGTCAGTAACTAATTACAATAAGTTTTTTGGTTAGAACATTTTTTTGTCAATGAAGGTTAATAATTTGATGTATAAATCAAGGAATGTTGTTGCAGGAACTGTGTAGGATAATTTTTAATATAAGTCACATAAATGAGTCAAAGGAAATTCTCAATATAATAAGTTTTTACTTACACTTATATAGCCTTTAACATATACTAATGTTAACAATGTAATGTATCAAATCAACCAGGATATTACCAGGGCAGAGATTTATTAAACACAATGCAATCTTTACAAAATATTAAACAGTAATAAAGGAATGCCCAGCCAGGACTTTGTAAATAAATATATCAAAATACAAATGCCAACATTTAAAAATTCAAAAAAGTAACATTGTTAATATCAAAATCACAAAATAATGTTAGCGATAATAAAAAATTTGGAAAAAAAAAGAACCAGAACTACAATAAACCTAATTAGCAAGATTAATCAATATAAAAGTATTGAATATTTCTAAAAAAATATAATTAAATCACAAATAATGATCAATTGATTATTTGCAATGATATCTTTTAACAGTTAAATATCTTATGTATTACAGTTTCAGAGATATATAACCTACAGTCTGATTCTCTTGTCAGTGTAATTTCAAGTCTTAAGTCTTTTTTATTGTCTTGCAAGACCACAAGGTTAGATTTCACACAACTGAATACCTATTGTTTGTTTTACATAGTCAATTATGAACTTAGTATCTATACAATATCACTAGGGGATCCTAGTGTTGGTGTCTTAGTATATAAATTATTTCTTAAATAATCAATGTTCACTAGAAGGTAGGTGAGCTAGCATTTAAGGCATAAAAAAACATAGCTGAATTTAACAAAAAAAATTACATGAATGATAAACAAGGTCATTGCTAATAATAAAACAGAAACTGTTACCTCAAAAATCTCCAGTTTTTTAAGAGCATTTTGAGTTATATTTGGAGGACATAAGCATTCCTTTACAATGAATCACTATATATATTTTGATTGAGCAGTTATCATTATGTGCTATCACTTTCTTTAATTTTTACTTGTAGTTATTTGAGTTGATTGAGACAAGGCCATTTATAGTAATCTTTTAACTTCTTTCCATCAACATCAATGGTACAAGGAATGCTTTGTGTTAAGTATGTTGAATTTTTGTGTACTCTTTGCTAATATTTAAATAATAAAACATTCCATGTATTGAATAATTATAAATATATTTTTTTTCATTCATAGGTAATGTTTAGGCCAATTTTACATTCTCGTTTGAAATAGCTTTTTGGCGTACATTGTTTTTGGTGAACTATCTAAATTTGATTGATTATATATGCAAGAAATTTAAAGCTTTAACAGGAAATGTTTCTGCAGTGTCTAAGTAAATATTTTGGGCAATACTGTAGTTTATTGTTGTTTTTGTCAGGTCTTGTTCTTGAGTAGACAATTGACAATAGAGAAAACACTTTCAGTATCTAAGGTGTATTTTATATTATACGTGTTTATATGTAACTTAACTATCATAAGAAAGCAGACTGTACAATAGCACAAGTCTGAACTGAAACTACATTTGTATGTACTAAATAAGAAATGAAATGAGCATAACTATTCTTCCAAATGGAACACTCAAATCCATTTGTATGGATGTTTCCCTCCTCTTATGTAATGATTTACTCATACAATGTCCATGTCATCAACTCTGGTGTAAGACTAAATGGTAAGCCACTCTGTAAGTTTATGGATTCTATGGTGGGTGAGTGGTAAAAGTACAGACAAACGATGCCAACCTCTGGGGTTCAAGTCTCCACAGTGGACAGAGGAACAGATGGATCATTGTGTAACTTAGTGCCCAAATATAGAAATTTGTAAGTTTATAAATCTAACAAAGAAATATTTTGCCAAAGATGTTGAATAAAGTTGTAGAAAAATGGTTAACCACATATTAAGGAACAAATTAAATACTGATTTTATGGTAGAAACCAAAGGGAGTGGTAAATGGACACTTTTCTGTTTGAATAATGGGTCTAGTAGGGTCTGTTTGTGATATTTCTAGTTTATTATTTATGTAGAAAAAAATAATTAGGTTATATGCAAAAAAAGGCTGATGTTAAAAGTGTTTCTTTTCCTCAGGATAGCTTATGGAGATAGGTTTAAATCTCTTAATATGTTTTTCTGGAGAAAATAAGGAATCAGAGGAAAATGATTGAGTTTTTAAAGGTTGTTATAGGTTTGGAATCCAGAAATCCAGATGAAGCTTAAAAACAAAACAAATTGCAGCCATAAGCTTAAGATATGAAAAACTTGGACATGAATCCAGTTAAGGCAGTATTACTTTTAAATTGGATAGTCATCTTATGAAATATTTCGGGATAAGTTACAGCTTTTAAAGAACTTAGAAGTAGATATGAAGACTATTTTAAAGATCAGGTTAGATATAAGAAAAGGGGTTTCTTTATGTAGTTTGAAATAGGATTGTGGTAGAAATAACATAACATAATATTTTGGGACAACATGGGATCTATTGGTCCATCTCGGCTGTTCCATCCTCAAAACTAAATTCAAATGATTAAAAAAAAAAAGTTTAAACCCAGCTCTTTTCATTCATATACATATCAAGCTTTTTCTTAAACTCACTTAAATTTACTGCCTCTACAACATCTGAAG